ACACCCTGACCCGGCAGGCTTTGCAGTTTGGAGTCGGGGGCAGCCGAGGGCAGCACCGCCGCCCCGCAGGCGTCAGGCATCCGGCGCTGCGCGCTCCCTTTCAAAGAGATGCTCCCAGGCCCTCGAGGAGTCACTCAGGGCTGGGGGGCGGCCAGGGGCTCACTAGCCCTCGGAAGACCACAGACCTCTGAAAAGGTGGGAAGAAGAACTTTTGAGAGACACTCCGGGCGCAAGTGTCAGGCGGGCAACTGGATGTTTGGATCTGGAGGCAGATGTGTGAACGGGAATCATCTGGACACTGAGGGCAATGAAAGCCTTGGGCCTGGACGGGTCCACCTCCCTGTCTAGATGCTGACAGAGGAGGGTAGCAGGAGGTCCCCCGACCCCGGGCAAGAGGGCCCAGGGGCTCAGAGAGGAGGCTGCTCCAAGACATCTGAACCGCCAAGGCCGCCGGGCCAAGGAGGGGCTGGGCCAGGAGAGGGAGGGGAGCCCCCAGGGCTGGGGGGCACGCCGGGCGGCCTGGGCTCGGAGACCCCATCCTCTGAGGGCACATTGCCTTCCAGAACCACGGCACAGCCGGTCTGCCCTCTCTCTTGCTCCAGGAGAGCCCCAAGGTCACCTGGACCTTTGCCCACCACTGCTGGCAGCAGCTGAAACCCCGCCTCCATCAGGCCCTTCATGTGACGGTCCCTCGGGTTCACACCACGTAAGCCAAAGTTTCTATGACCAACCATTTGGTGTCCTGAAAAATTAATTCTTCTCTTGAATGAATGCCACTGTGCTGATGGGCTTATTTCTGGATTGCTCATACCGCCCAGCTGTGGAGATGAGTCTCTACTTAAGATGACAATTTAAAATCTAGGAAGCGCCCCATGGAGGTGAGTGTCCAGTGAGGCCACACCCCAGCAGGTCACGTCCCAGCAGGACACTCTGTGGAGACACATGAGCCCAGTTCACAATTGTTCAATCCAGGTCAACTCAGCAAATGTCTGCAGACAGTGAGAAGATTGTTCAGGGTTAAGTGGGGCGGGGTAGGGGAGGACAGGGAGGGGACAGGAAGGGGCAGAGGACGAGGAAGGGACGAGGGGGAC